AAATTGCTTATATTCACTGACAAATCAAAATCTATAATAAAAGGGTAATATGCTAATTCGACCAGACGTCCTTCTGGACATCATTCTGGACGTCCTTCCAGATGAAGCCAGGGCCATAGGGAAGCCCGGGTCCTGGGTGCCTGCTGGTGGCCTGATGGAAGCCCGGGTCCCGGGTGCTGGAGGGAAGCTGGTGCCAGCAGCTGGGGAAAGGGAGGCCTACTCTTGCATGAATTTTCGTGCATCGGGCCTCTAGTAATAACAATAATGATGATATTTGGGGATTAGAAAAACAACATAGAAATAAAATGCTGCCTACTAATATGTGTAATGAAGTGCCTTGAGTGAAATATTTTTAAAGCCTGTATTACTCAGGAATGAGGTAAGAGATACTTTGTCAAGTATGCATATACAAATTTAAAGGTAGAATTATGTTTCTAGTGATTGTGACCTAATAAATTATTACTATTCTCTTCTGATGAATATATCTAGACAAAATATATTTAAAAATATATTTAGATGTTATTGGAGTTCACAAAAAAGAAAACAAAATTGGGCCAATTTCTAGGAGGAAAAGAAAACCCAGAGATGTGACTCTGACATATCCAATGCTTTTCCTCTAGAAGTATCTGTCAATTCTGGTAGAGGAAGTTGGAAGACTCGGGGACTTGGTAGATGTTTTGTCAGTCTCACAGGTGTAGAAAAAATATTTGACTTCATAATAGCTAAGAAATTTTCAATACTGAAAAAAATATCAAGCCAAATATATGAAGCAAAATTGAAGGAACAAAATGGATAAAAGGACAAATTAACAACCATAGAGACCTTAATGGCCTCCCCCTACTGCTTTTCATTCACTGAGAGAACAAGACAAATCAGGAAATATATAGATTTTGAGGAAGATGATTAACAAATTTTATCTAACTGACACATAAATAGCACTGTAATAGATAACTACAAAATTTTAAAGTGCACATGGGACATGTACAAATATTGACCATATGCTGAAGTATAAAATAAATCTGAACATATTTAAAAGTATTAAAATTATTTAAAGCAAGCATGTTTTCTGAACAGTATAGAATTAAACTTGAAATCAGTAACAAAAGATAACTATACAGTCCACATAAGTTTGGAAATTAAGCATTACAGTTCTAAATAAACTATAGAACAAAGAATAAATCATCATGAAAACTAGAAATATTTTGAAATGACTAAGAAGTTTCCACATATCAAAATTAGTGTAATATAACCCAATCATGTGTAAAAGATTTCAAAGGCAGAAATAAAAATCACCTGAAAAACAAGGACCCAAGCATTTATTCTAAGAAATGAGAAGAGCAAAGTAAACTCAAAGAAGATAAAAGGACAAAAATAATAATTATCTGAGCTGAAATTAATTAAATAGGAACAAACATACAACAGAAAGCAATAACAGATGATTTGCATAGATTAATAAAATTGATAAACCCCTGCTGGAAACCGATCAAGAAGAAAATACAGAAGCTCCAAATAACCAAAATCAAGAATAAAAAAGACTGCATCACTTTAGTTACTATAGGCATAAAACATAATAGGAGGGTATTACAAAAAATTTTGTCAATAAATTTGAACATTTAAAGGAAATGAACAAATTCCTAGAACTTACAAAAATAAACATAAGAAAAATGGAAACTGAATAGTTTCTAAAGAACCTTACTAGAAAACAGTTTCTAAAGAACCCTAGTAGAAAATCCCACAAAGAAAATCAGTCTCAGATTACTTTAATACACCAAACATTTAAGGAAGAAAAGCTGCCAGTCTTGAATTAACTTTTCCAAAGTACAGAAAAAGAGGAAACACTTAACAATGTGCTTTACGAGGCCAGCAAAACCTTGACGTAAAATTCTGACAAGGATATTATAAAAAACAAACAGGCCAATATTACTTATGAAAATAGATGCAAAAATCCTAAGCAAAATACAACAAATCTAGCATTACATGCCATAAAATAATACATTGAACAATATGTGTTTATTTTAGGAAAGAAAAGTCATTTTAACATTTGAACACCAATCAATGTAATCATCACATATATGGAATAAAAAAGAAAAAGCATATGATCATCTCAATAGATAAATAATAAGTATTTGATACAATACTAAACATCTATTCATGATAAAAATTTATAGAAAACTAAGACTAGAAGCTACTTTAATCTGATAAACTTTACCCACAAAAGACCCACAGCAAACATCATCATCATTATTATTTTTTTGCAAACATCATTATTAATAGACATGTTAAATTTTTTTCTGTTATTGAAACTGAGAAAAGATGACTATGATAATCATTTCTATTTATAAGAGTAAAAGCATAATATTCTAATTAGACTGGACATCCTGCAGGACAAAGCTGGGGCTGGGAGGGAAGGCCAGGTCCCAAGTGCCAGAGGAAAGCCTGGGTCCTGGGTGCCAGAGGGAAGCCGGTGCTGGCAGTTGGGGGAAGGAAGGCCTACTCTTGCACAAATTTCGTGCATTGGGCCTCTAGTATAACATAATTCTACAAGTTCTAGCCAGTGCAATAATATAAAAAAAGAAAAAATCTATGCAAATTGATAAGGAATTAATAAAAGCCATCATCATTCAGACTTTTTGTTCAACATGATTGAACATATACAAACATAAAAAAATAATCCATATAGAAAGATTATTAGGATATGTGGATTTAGCAAGATCTCTAGATACTAAGCAAATATATATTTTAAAATTATGGCTTCTAGTTAGGTAAATGTGGTATACATATCCTCCCATGACCACATCAAAATTACAATTAAACTACAGGACAGGCATCATTTAGAACCACCTGATGTCTAGCTAAACAGAAGTCCAATAACTAAGGCTATACAGAAGAAGTCACATCAAGACTGGTAGGAGGGATGGAGGTGTGGAACAGGCTGGTCCCACACTCATCTTTGGCAGATAATCAACAGAAGGGATATCTCAGCTGCGGAGGTACCCCCAAAAAGCAAGGAGTCCCAGCCCCATACCAGGTTCCTCAACCCAGGATTCCAGTATTAGGAAGAGAAGCCCCCATAACTTTTGCCTGTGAAGGCCAGCAGAGAATGCATAGCTGAATGAATTGGAGGGCAGCTGGACTCATAGGTATTCCTCTTAAAAGGCCCACACAAAGTTTCCAGAACTGGGGCAGTAGCTTGAAAGGCACCAGGGATATATGGGGAGGAATTGAATTGTTGGCTTTGGGCAAGAACTGGAGAGGCAGCTTTCTCCCAGACAGAATGCTGACAGAAGCTATCGTTATTTTGTTGAGCCTTCATGTGCAGGCACATGAAAGCACCATATCTGAGTCTCCATCAACTTGGCTAACACTATTTGGCCCACCCCAGTGATTCCCTGAGACCCCACCCCATCCAACTGTGGACCCACTCAAATTGCTTCCAGAGGCTTTTCGATATAAACATCCTGTCTTGGCTCATGCGTTAGACTTTCCTAAAATCTCTCAAAAGTTCACAAATGCCAAACAAGCAGCATCTGGCCTCGGCATGACCTGTACCTTTTGCTAAGTGGCCCCAGGCCTGGCACTAGTGGCAGCTGGCTTGAGTTCACAGCTTGGCTTCTCCTGGGCACCTCCATGCCCAGCACAAGTAGCATCCACCTGAAGATTGCTTTGTAGCTCATTCCAGTAGGCCCTGGGCAGGGCACAGGTGGTGGCAGAACTTGGCCTGTACCTCCTGAGAGGCCCCAGAGCCAGCACACCTAATGGACAGTTTCAGACGATGCTGAAGTACCACCCAAACACTTTTATGAGTGACACACTCAAGGCCAGACTTCTTGGGCACTAGAGACCTGATGAAGCTAAGCCCTGCTTCATGGGGTCAACCCTTGCATAGCAGCTCCTCTGATGCAGTTGCTACCAGTCCTGACAGCCAATTGGCCAGGGAGTAAATCCCTCCCATTGACATGCCAACAGCAATAGCAGGGTGCAAATAGTTCACACAGTGGGTGCATCTGGAGCACCCAGCTTGGGTAAATGGGGAGGCTGTGCCACTGGGCCCTACAGGACACCTTCCACATAAGGAAATTTTATCAAGACAAGGAGATGTAGCAGCTCTACCTAGTAAATGGAAACAAATACAGGGAGGCAACCAAGTTGAGGAGACAAAAAGAAACTTGTCCCAAATAAAAGAACAAAATCCAGAAAAAGAACTAAACAAAATAGAGACAAGCAATCTACAAGATGCAGAGTTTAAAACACTGGTTATAAGGATGCTTAACAAACCCAGAAAGATTCGCAAAGGCTGAAAGTAAAGTGATAGAAAAATGTATTTCATAAAAATGAAAATTAAAAAAGAAAAATCAATACTTATACCAGACAAAATAGACTTTAAAACAAAGGCTATAATGAGAGACAAAGAAGTACTTAGCAATTCCACTTTGGGGTATTTATCCTAAGAAACCCAAAACAGTAAATTGAAAAGACATATGCACCATATGTTCATTGCAGCAATATTTATAATAGCCAGCATATGGAAGCAACCTAAATGTCCATCAATAGATGAATAGATAAAGAATAAGTGGAATATGACTCAGGCATAAAAAGAATGTAATCTTGCCATCTGCAACAACATGGATAGACCTAGAGGGTATTGTGGTGAGTGAAATGAAAGACAAATACTTTATGATTTCACTTATATGTAAAATCTAAAAGACAAAACAAACAAGCAGAATGAAAACAGACTGAGATACAGAGAACTTTTTGATGGTTGCCAGATGGAAGGGGGTTGGGGGGATGAGTGAAAAAGGTGAAGGGACTGAGAAGTACAAATTGGTAGTTACAAAATAGTCACAAGGATATAAAGTACAACATAGGGAATTTATATATATAAAAGCCTAAGCAACCGTCTGACTGTTCAACCAGTAGCTATGATGCACAATGACCACCAGGGGGCAGACATTCAATGCACAGGCATGGAAACATGGAACAGACTGATGAATCTCAGAGGGAAGAGGGGAAGGGGGAGGGCGGGAAGAGATTAATAAAAGATCTTATATGCATACTAGAGGCCCAGCACATGAAATCATGCATGGGTACGGTCCCTAGGCCTAGCCTGCAATCAGGGCCATCTTTCCTGGCTGCAGCAGCTGGTCCTGCCCCTCACTAATATCCACCCTGATTTCTGGTTCCCCATCTGGCAATGGGAGCCTGATAGCTGGGGGAGGGACCAAGAGGTTGGCGGTTCCCACCTGCTTGCTGGCCCCACGCCTATCACAGGTCACTCTCTGTGTGTGGGGCAACTGGCGGGGCGGGGGACTTGGCCTGGCACTGCCCGCATCCCCCACCACCCACCCTGGTTCACTTTTCACCATCGACAGTGATCACAGCTTGCGGGCCGGGGGAGGGACCAAGAGGTCACCTGTTCAGCCTGCTTGCCAGTCCCATCATCTGCCACCACTCACTCTGGTTCCCCATTCCCTATCCAGTGATGGGAGTCTGATAGCCAGGGGAAGGACCAAGATGTTGGCTGTTCCCGCCTACTTGCCGGCCCCAACCCCACCGCAGGTCATCTCTGTGTGTGGGGTGACTGGCGGGGCAGGGCCTTGGCCTGGCACTGCCCGCATCCCCTGCCACCCACCCCAGGTCCCTATTTGCCATTGGCGATTGGAGCCTGCCGGCTAGGGAAAGGGACCTAAAGGTGGTCAGTGCACCTCATAGTGACTGGTCGAGTGGTTGTTCTGGTCGTTTTGCTGTTATGGTTGCTGGGCTTTTATTATATAGGACTAGAGGCCAGTGGGGTCCCTAGGCCTGGCCTGGGGGGATCAGGCCAAAACTGGCAGTCTGACATCCCCTGAGGGGTCCCAGATTGCGAGAGGGCACAGGCCAGGTGGAGGATCCCATCGGTGCACAGCATGCACTAGGCTTCTAGTATAGTCAATAATTATAATAATAAAAGCATAATTATAATAATAAAAGCATAATATGCTAATTAGACCAGACAACCAAATGACGTTCCGGACCTTCCAGATGAAGCCAGGGCTGCGAGGGCTGAGCCCCTTGCACGAATTTCGTGCATCGGGCCTCTAGTATTCTAATAACTATGTATGGTGTCAGATGGGTATTAGATTTACTGTGGGATCACTTCATAAGTTATATAAATATCTAACCAATGGGTTGTACCCTTGATATGAATATAATGTACACCAACTATAATTTAAAAAACTTTAAGAAAGTTATTCCTTTATATCAATAGCACGCAATGAGAAATTTTGAAAGTATCATGTGCGACCTGATCCCGGGCGGCTGGGTGGGGCAGCAGCGATCAGCCGGCCTGCCCGGCCCCCGCCCAGGCGTCCCGTGTGTGACCCAACCCTGGGCGGCGCCCCAACCCTCAGATCAGCCCTGCTGTGTGTGCGACTCGGGGTGGCGATGTCTGACTGCCTGCTTAGGCCCGCTCCCCACCTGGCCCCATGCATAGCCTGCTATCCACCTGGTCCCCCCCGGGGAGGGGGCCTAACCCAGCAGGTGGACATCCCCCAAGGGGTCCCATACTGTGAGAGGGCACAGGCCTCACCTTCCCTCCCCCGCCAGTCCACAAATTTTTGTGCACTGGGCCTCTAGTAAAATAATAATGAAGCACCACTGTGCATCCACAAGAGTGGTTAACATCTAAAAGATTGACAGTAATAAGTGTTGGTGATCATGCGAAGTAATAGAAAATTGCATACACTATAGGTTGATTGTGGAAATTGGTACAACCACTTTGGGAAACTCTTGGACATTCTCTGCTAAAGTTTGATACATGTATACCCTGTGTCTCAGTGATTCCTCTTCTCACTATTTACTCAACAAAAGTACAAGCAAGTGAATGCTCAGGGAAAGCTCTTTGTAAAAGTGTTCATAGCAGAATTATATGCATTATCCAAAAAAAATATAGAAGCACCTCAAATATCCATTAACAATGCAATAGATCAGTGGTCGGCAAACCGCAGCTCGCGAGCCACATGCAGCTCTTTGGCCCCTTGAGTGTGGCTCTTCCACAAAATACCGACTTCTGCGCATGGGCCACAAAGTTTCAATCACACTGTACATGTGTGCCCGCACGTGGTATTTTGTGGAAGAGCCACACTCAAGGGGCCAAAGGGCCATATGTGGCTCGTGAGCCACAGTTTGCCAACCACTGGAATAGATAATTGTGGTAATCTTGCAAAGAAAGAGTGGATTGCAATGTAAATTGTTGATCTATAGCAACATGCCACAATATGGATGAATTCCCCACCCCAAAATAATGTTGAGAGAACTCAGATGCAAAATTATACATATGGTAAGTTCTCATTATTAAAATTTTCATAAAGCAGGCAAGTATCAGAAGTCAGGATAATTACCTGGGGAGGAAGGATGGAGGAAGTAATAATTAGGGAAGGGCACAAAGGAGGATTCTGTGGGCTAGTAGCCTATATCTTGACTTCAGAGGTGATTAACAGGTGGTTCAGACTTGGATAATTCACTGAGCTGTACACTTATGACTTTTTTGCTTTTCTGTATATGTTTTTTATTTTGATTAAATGTTAAGAAATGAAACATAATGACCAAAAGTACAGAAACAGAATATATAGCTTCCTAATCAGAGGATAGGAAAAAAGAATGAATATAACTCAGTAAATGAAAGAAAAAACAGAAAGGGGGGAAAGTCAGAGAAAAATAAATATTATAGCTAGAAGACATAAAATATGTTTATAAGATATAAATCCAAACATGTAAACAATAACAGTGGGAAAAAAAACAAAATGAACTTGCAACTTAAAAGAGAGAGACTCTGGAGCTGAGTGAAAATCTAGTTATATTCTTTGTGTTAATAAGAGATGTGCTAAAACATGCTAATACAGAAAGCTAGTAGTAAAAGGAAAAGGGCATTCTAGAAAAGTACTAACCAACAGAAATTGTGTAGCTTAACATTATCAGACAAAATAGTTTTCAAGGCATAAGGCAGTATTATGGATTAGAGGCCTGGTGCACAAAAATTTGTGCACTTGGGAGGGTCCCTCAGCCTGGCCTGTGCCCTCTCGCAGTCTAGGACCCCTTGGAGGATGTCCACTTGCCAGCGGGGAGCAGGCTTAAGCTGCAGTCTGACATCCTTAGTGCTGCTGAGGAGGCGGGAGAGGCTTCCGCCATCACCGCTGTGCTGGCAGCCATCAGCCTGGCTTGTGGCTGAGCAGAGCTTCCCCTGAGGGAGCACACTGACCACCAGGGGGCAGCTCCTGCATTGAGTGTCTGCCCCCTGGTGATCAGTGTGTGTCATAGTGAACAGTCATTCCCAGTTTTTCTGCTGTTAGGGTCGGTTTTCATATTACCCTTTTACTATATAGGATAGAGGCCTGGGGCACGAGTGGGGCCGGCTCGTTTGGCCTAAAGGGTGTTCTGGGTCAGGGTGGGGGT